TCAGTCCATCTAGCAGCTGCTAATGGCACACCATGGTCTTTGGCCAATCCAGTGGAATTGCTCACTGGTTGGCCCTTTCTTTTACCTCCTCCATCTTGGTTTTCTTTCCAAGATCATCTTCCTCCTTCTGTAGCTCTGCAATCTGAGCTCAGATGTCTTCTCTTGTTCACTTCTTTTTTGGACAGTCCTTTGCTATGTGCCCTTTCTGGCCATAATTAAAACATTTGCTTTCCTTTTTTATCTGGTCTATGTCCATCAGTTTTCTGAATCTGGTGTATGTCGTTCCGGTTTCTGTCTTCTGTGCTTCATAGATGGAGGCCGTCAAGAGTTCTAATGATTTTCTGGCAGTTTGCTCTGATTTGTTTAGAGTTGGTGGAGTTGGCTTCTTGGTGTAATTCTGGAGGGTTGATGACTCTGCTTTCTGTCTTTGTCACTCTCTGTACATTTCAATGATTCATTCCTTTTATTTGTCATATCCAATCAGCATTAATGCTTTAATGCCAATTGCTGAAATCATCATAATGTATGAAGAGAGGACACCCCTTTTGAGGACCTTGATCATTCATCTATTATTTGCTATATCATCTCGAATTCCAGCAAGCTTTGTCAGGTATTCTAGCTCATTGAAATAGTCTATGGCCACCTTATCTCCTATCTTGTATTCTTTGATCTTTTGCTTATGCACTTCTTGCACTGCCAGATCAATGAATTTGTCATATAGTATTTGTTTAAATACCAGCCACAAGGGATACCAGTAGTGCTCCTGAATCGATGATCAGAAGTTCAAGAAAATCAGGATCTACCAGTTTTTTGCCTTCTCTTCAAGATAGAAGGCAGCAAAGATAACTTGGTTCATATCTGTGCTGAGGTATCCAATGTAAACCTTGAAGTATTGCTTGCAATCAACCAGGAATCGATCGATATTGTCTGAGACTCTCTTGAAGAGGCAAGGTTTTCAAAGTAAGTCAGATCAGCATTGGAGGACAGTGGCATTTTCAGGTAGAGTGCCTATCGGGTTGGGCCATTCTACAAACAGAGATCGGCTTCATTTCTGTGAGGGCCCAGAGAAGGAGTAGAGGGAGTAGTCATCAGTGACCAGGCTTCCTTTTGGAGTGCTGTCCTTCTGGACAATTACTCTATCTCAAATAGTGAATCTGAGGCAGATGACCTCAGAGTCATCTCTTATTAGCTCCTTTCCCATTCTTTTTGTCATCACTTCATCAGAGGGTGGTTGTCCACTGAGGAGGCAGCTGCCCTTCCTGGTCTAAGGGTTCTGAAATTCTTCATGCTGTGATGCCAAGGGATTTGGCTGGTATCATGCCCTTGTGAGCTGAGCTGCCATGCTTTGGATTGATGTGTCTGATGTCCCAGCTTGACTGCAGATGGATAGTGCTATATAAACAGCTCATTTTGGCAGAATGGGTGGGGAGTTCAGCATTGGCTGTGGTTGGTTTTTGAATTGATAAGAGGGAATCAGCTTGAGAGAATCCTCAGAGTGCCATCTGTCATATTCCTCTCAGGCATACTTCATCACAGCATACTATAAAATATCTCTTTTTTCAGTATCATCTGCATATTTATACTTAAGTCTTAGGGGCATAGCCTTTCAGCAAGCATCTCTCTATAAAAAAAGTATTCTTTGCTTGTATAGTCCTTGATACTCTGTCCCCCTCATCTGCTCTATTTCTTCCTTCAACACTTCTTCATCAGTTTCTTCATTGATGCATTTCATGAATTGTTCAAGCCTGAAGGGGTCTTCACTGTTCTCCTTGTCACCCTCATTGCTACTGTCCTCTTTCTTGAGGAGAAAACTAATGAGTGGGTTGTAGATAAATAGCACAGCTGGTCTGAGGGTCGCTGGAGACTCTGTTATCGGCTCTGATGCTAGGTCCAGCTATCTCCATTCATTGGATGGAAACATTTGGGAGCTGGCTGTATTGAGTCCCTCTTTGTGCTCTTTCCTCCTCCAGTTCTCAGCTATAGAGACTGAAGTTTCATTGGAATCCAGGATCAAGGAACTGGTGGGTGACTCGACTTCCCAAGAACCAGCAGAGAGCTCAGTCAGAGATATGAGCATTGTCTGGTACCTGGAGCCCATAGGCTCTAAGGATAGAGTCAGCATCAGAGGAAATAGTATCTGTTCTGGTGGAATACTAGAGGGAGAGAGAGTGATCATCAATCCTAGTGCCTTAGCCCCTTCGAATTGCTTCTTCTCTGTTGATGATGCTGGTTGGCCCTGTCCATAGGTCAGTTTCTGAATTGAGCTCTCTGAAGAGGGACCTAGAAGAGTTGATGCAAAGACTGTATCAGCCAGGGGAGGCTGATCTCAGCCTGGCAGCCTCTTTCTGTCATCATCCTTGTCATCCTTGTCTGTCATACTCTGCTTCTTCAAATTCTCACTGTGCTTCTGCTTGGATATACTCAGTGAGCTCCTTCTGAGCTTGCTGGACCTCAGCCTGTCAACTCTGGTTCTGCCGCTGCTGCTGTACTGCATCATTGTAATTAAAGGAGACCTGTAGATCCCAGTCTGGGAAGACTCATCATATAATTCTATTCCAGGTGATTCTTCCTCTTGCACTAGCCATTCCTGCCTCTGGCTGACTGCCAACATGAAGATGATTGCAGGGGTCTTCTGCTGCAGCAATAGCAAGCTCCATGTTCATGAAATCCTGGTGGATGCTCCTTCCATGAGGGTCATTGAGCCTCAGCCTGCTGATGAATGGGCTTGACTCAGGGATAGTGTAGAGGGAACAGTAGGAGGAGTTGGAGATTGTCTGAGGTCTCGAAGCCACTTGAGTGGCATTAAGAGAGTCTCAAGCACAGTTTCCAATCTCTGGAGCATCTGAGGCAATGGAATGACTGGGAGTGGGGGTATTCAGAGGGATGTTATTGGTGACCTCCTCATGCCCATAAGTGATATTCATTGTCCAAGGGTTCTGAAACCCTGTGAGGCTAGGGTTGCAGTCTCTGCTGCATTGTCAAGGGGGGTATCAGGGTCTCTCCTCTTCCTGAAGGCTCTCTGAATCTGGGTTGCTATCCCCAGTTTCTGATATGGGTTGTTTTTGCAGCTGGAAGGACATTCTAGTGGAGGTGGGAATATCATAGAAGGGTAAATCTGGGGTTATATTTCAGAGAATAGTACGAATCTGCTGAAATGCCTGATAGTATCTGACTATCCAAGCAGTAACTGATTGTCATTCATGGCAGAGAGTGATGATGGCTAGAAGCCCAAGTAGCATTCCTATGATGGAAGCTATCAACTCAAAGAAGTTGTGATTAAGGTCAGCAGTGGTTGCTGATAGCATTCAGTTTCTCAGCACAATTGGGCTTGAGAAAGGGAAGGTGAAGCTTCAAGCTAATTGTTAGGCTCAAGCTGCATGTGATCTACTAGCACATGATAAACTAATGTGACTTCACATTCAAGCCTTCCATTAGAGTCCACTTTTATGTGCTGACATAGATTTCCTGTGCTTCAAGGCTTTGTGTGACTAGCTCGAGAGTAGAATGAGATGGAATCAACTTTAGCTCAAAGCTGAGGATTTACCAGCAAGAGCAAGCTCCTTAAATACTGTACAAAGCTTGCTAATAATACTACATACTTATTGTGTGTTTCTCTGTCCTGTTGTCTATTGTCCTTGAGTGTTGCTACCATACATAAAAGGTTGATTGTGCATTGTCAGGCAATGTTGTTGCATTGAAAGACAATGATGGACTTGGCTAGTTGTGATGACTAAGCCTCATCCCACAGTCTTAAGCACTTATTCTAGTGCTCTGACTAAGTATAAATAGAGGTTAGTGGAAAATCATAACAGGATTCTTCTTGTTTCATTGGAAGAACCTCCAGATCTGAGTCTCCAGAGGTGGCTTCTGGTATAGTTTCAGGTGTGGGCTCATTGGTAACTTAGGTGGCCTCAGGAGGGAGGTTGTAGAGAGGGAGAATGGATATGATATTTTGAGTTTAGCAGTAGATCATTCAGAGCTCATGGTAATACCTGATTATCCAAGTAATAACAGACTGATTTCCTCAGCAGAGATAAACAATAATGAAAAGCCTGAGCAGGATGCCAATGATGGCACTCAAGAGCTTGACAAAGTCAGAGATGATGTCATGGATGGATAGCATTTGGTTTTCTTTACCACTAAAGTGTATAAGAAGAGGGAAGCAGGAAGCTTGGAGCTAACTGTTAGATCTAGCTTGCACATGATCTGGACATGTGATAAACTAGCACTGTATCATGTTTATACAGTCACACTAGAGTCCACTTAATGTGTTATATCAGGCAAATGCTTCAAGGCCAAAGACAAGCTGGGCTCAAGAGAAAATAGTGTGGAATAAACTTATAGCTCAAAGCTGAACTACTACAGCAAGAGCTATCCTACTTATATACTGTTTAGCTATAATAAATATAACTGCTTTCCTATTGTACTGTTCTGTGCTATACTGCTTGTTCTGTCTGATCATTTGAGAGTAGACAATGAGGAATTGTTCAAGGACAAGATGACTAAGTATAATAGTGCATGTCATTATGATTATCTAATCTTCCCCATGCTTGCAGGTAGGCACTTGTGATAAGATAGACACTCTGATAAGATAAGAAAAAGATAATAAAATGGAGAAAATCATAATATTGACAGATACTAGTCACCTTCACTATTGTCACTTGATCTATCTACATCCTGTGAATCCTCTCCTGATTCAGTGCCATTGCTCTCATTCTCCTTCTCAGTCTCTTTCTCATCACTGTATGGGTCCTTCCATCCAATTGCATGTCCCACTTCTTCAACTCTTTGGTATCCAATATTGTCTTTCTCAGAGACCTCTCTGCCTTCTTCCTCTAGCACATTCTATTGTATCCTCTCTGAGCAGATAGCCTTATGGATTTGGTCACTATTACTCATATACATCCACATGATGCACATGAATGATCCATTTAAGCCTAAGCTACCTTCAGAATCATTGTCATCCCCTTGTCCAAGAGCACTCACTTTGTCCTTTACACTCTCAATCTAAAGGTGATATATGTCTATACATCCATTTTCAGTCAATGCTGATTTTGAACACTTTTGACTCTGGGTCAAAGTTGGGCTGAAATTCCAGGAGCATGGTGTCATTTGTGTTATGCTTGACTTGAACAATCACCCTTGGACATTCAAGTGAGGATCTGTTCTGGAACATTGTTTCAACTGACAAGCAAACTCCTTGTGAAAGTTTTCATAGCATTCTTTGTCTTTGTATATTGCATGAGAGAGATTGGCAGAGCTGAGATGAGAAATTTGGAATTCAGTAGCAAGGAATACTTTGCCATGCTCTTCCAAGTACCACTTCCCTAGAGTAAACAAAAGCATGATAAGGTTGCATTCAGTATGGAAAGAGATATGATGACCAACCAGGATCGATGTGAATCCATGTCTTTTTTAGATGCTTAGTGATGAAGATGTGTTCGACTGCTGCTTTAAAATTGCATGAGACTTGATGGCAATCAATCCACAGGAAAAAGAGATCTTTCACTCCAGATTTGAGGAGTATTTCATAGAAAATATCTGGAGGAATTTCCAGAGATTTTCCATCAGAGGAGGAGGCCATGATGGAAGCCAAATTGTGGTCTAAGCCAAGGCAGCCGCCGCTTGCAAAATCGGAGCGGATCTTCCCAATATAGCAGATGTGATAGACACGGCCACCGCTCGACTTTGGTCCGCCTCAGCCGTCTTCACGGTACCGCTCTACTCGCTTTTTTACCGTTCTCATCCCACCAAAAAAGATATGCTGTTGTCTGTCTAGAAACTAGATCGCTCTATCCTCTGCTCTAGCTGTATATCGAATATATACGCATCAATCGAAGCTAATACGATGGACAGTTAGATACTACTAGTACATTACACTGTGACAGGACGACGCGAATGAGTGCAAGTACATCCCTATGATTATTGTCATTCTTTTCTTGATGCCGTCAGTTCTATTGTGTCTATCGACACTCCTCATAGTCAACTTAAGTTGTAAAAATATTGCTAGTAACGACAGTATAGATGCAATACGACACACAGTAGGTCCACCATGAGCTTAGATTCTTCTAATGCCTTCAGCAGCCCTCTTTACTACCACTTGTGGCATAAGTGAATTAGTAATGGAAATTGATGCGTAAGGCTTACAGATGCCCTTAAACATGTTTTACTATTTTGGTGAAGCAAAAATGCGATACTGGGGATCTATCCAGAGTTTGACGACTGCGAGGCATCAAACACTCCAAACGGAGTTCTTGGAACGGGTACCTGACGCATTAAGACGTGGATAGATATGGGGGAACGGGGCGCCGCATCCTGGTCCAAGGTCCATTACGGTGAAGTGAAAGCGTGTGCGCTTCACGATCTGCTGATGTGGATTGAAGATATATCAAGTCTGGACCCGCAAACATTGGTCGAAAGATTGCAAAAAAGAGTCGCAGGCGTGTGGATTTGCAAACATAAACCTGATTTTTCGAAAATCAGAAGTTGTCATATCTACGGCACCACGAACAGCACGTAGAATACAACGAACAGAACGCGCACGAAAAATTAGCAATGCACCCCACTGCTAGTGCGATTGCGCCTTCAAAGTGATAGTCGTTACGCGAAGAAGAAACGGAAGGCGGGTCCGAATCTCGACTAGAAAAGCATCCAGTAGGGAAAGTACTTCGGGCTTGCATTGCTTCCGGTAGCGCTGTAAGGCCCATACAAAGATGGAGTTCTCTAGAATGCCCATACATGCTTTGTGTGAATAAGCTTAACTCCTCACCCAAAATGATATTTTTGTCGACAATCCGTAGATCGATGAGTGAGGAAATAAAGGGAAGCATCATGGGACATATTGAAAATTCTAATGGTTGTCAGGTTGGTGGACATGATGTACTGTAGGACGCACCATTGTCAGATGGAGAGTATGGTACCAATTAGTCAAATGGGTATCGAGGATTCGGAGATATCATTGGTGCCATCGACATTAGCTAGTCCTGCTGGTTTGTCAAGGAACAAACTCCGAATGAGGGTTGTACAATGGTGAGAGAAGATCCGCAGAAGGATATCGTTGGATCTGATAATCTTTGACTCAAGGTCATGCTGAAGGAAGGGCCCTTCCATCGGGCTTCCTTGTACGGCAGCTGAATACACCAGAAAGAGGGATTCTACCGAAGAAGACCTTGAGCGCGCAGCGACGCAAAAGAAAATGAACTCCCTGGAGGCGAAGCTCTGAGAAATGAAGCATCGAGGGTATTCTGGAAGCTGTATTCGGGCGGAGGCATATTCATTTGGACGAAATCCATTCCTTTCCGGCGGCGACAGCCCCCGCAGGAGCAAAAAATGATCCACAGCTTCATGGTTGATGTCGGGTTGCCATAGATTCGTAAGGTCGGAAAGTAGCATGATCACCGGATATAGATGAATAGCTCCATTTTATTGACACCGCCAGCAATGATATTTCGGAATAGACGGATACTCGTCAATAGAATACAGTCCCGGAAGGTCAGACGACAGATACGCAACATTTCACGAGAATCCGAGTCGGACAGGTGCCCAAAAATAGAGTCGATGATTTGGACCTGCTGATGAAATGCTACTACAAAAATTTTTGGAAAAGAGCGGGACGGATTGCGATCACGTTTTAGGTCCCCTTCGACTTGGAAAGCTGGCAGCACTAACAAGGGAAGGCTCGCTTGTTAGCTGCGGTCTTTCCGCGGCAGCAAGGAAAGAGGCATCGGGAATTGCCGACTTCACTCTTTCCTATACCAACACATGACACTCGGCTGTATAACCCTCTCAGCGACTTTCTGAGTAAGAATAGTCGTGCTTTTGGCATACAATATCACTGTGTATTTATATTACAGGTTGTCGGCGCCTTCTGGAATTCCCGGTGTTTTTTAAAATATGAAGCCTTTATTGGACTGCGACTAGGAATTGTGCCGCGTCTATCGCGGAATGAAAACCGTAGCAAAAGATTATTTGGTCGTGATTCCAACATGAATATCCAACGAATCTTCTGCAGAACATGGCTGTTCAGCGAACGGCCCGGGCTGCAGTCTGATGACTTCGCGAGAAAATTTAGCTACGGGACTTTCCACAGACATGCCTGAGGTACTGGGGATCGTGACCAAATTCTCCGAAACATTTGTACGTTATTGTAAGCGTGTCTTCACACTTTTGCACATGCTAGTTACACTGAAAGCAATACAGGTTTCTACCGTCGCTAAAATACAATGGTATGCAGTTTGTCCTTCAAAAACTGGTCAAGAAATTGTAATCTTTTTCACCATCGTCTCGGGAGCTGTCTTTGGGAACGTCACCGTCAACAGCCCATTTTCGAGGGAAGCTTTGATCTCTTCTTCCTCCATATGAAGTCTGACGCTGCGCTTGTCTTCATGAGGCGACATGACTTGCTTACCTTGATTCCTTGAGGCAACCTCAGTGTCCTCAAGAATTTGCCGTACTTGCGCTCGCGGACGGCATAGGTTTGGATAGTGATGGCGGGATTAAGAGGAGGGTTGTCTTTTATATTCCTCGACTCTTGCTCGAACTCTCTGCTGTGACCAGTCCACGGTAAGCAGAAACCCGAAGAAGGTTATCGAACATTCCAAAGAGTCAAAGAGTCAACGACCTAGCGACTTCACAGGGACCTACGAGGTGCTTATCTTTCTGCAGCATGGAATACACTTCATGCTGTTTGAAAATTTTCGCGTCGATGTTCAATCAAATTTGGGGTTCGAGATCATGTGATCGAATCCAACCTCAGATCCTACTTCAAGTTCTCGGTTTACTGTAGGGCTCGAGCTTGGAGAATTGTGAGTTCGACTTGAGCTCAATGGCTAGCCATGTCGCTTTTTCAAACACGCAATCTACATCTCATCGATGTCTGTCTCGTCGAGCATGCCAGTGTCTACAACCGGAGCTGCTTCCTTGATGGAGCGTTGTATTAAGGGCGGGGACCCGCTGCGCCGCTTAGCTGAAGGAAATTTTAAAAGTACGCTACGCGTTTCCTCCACTTGTGCTCGTTCACTATCTTACTCCTTCCGTTATGGTGATCTTCACGAAGACGCCACCTTCAGTTTCCCCGGATCTTCAGAAAGTGACGTATCCATTGATGTCTACAACGGCCGCTCGACTACGTCATGTGAGAGTAATATCTCAAGCGAGCACAAGGACAGCTATGTTGTTCGGGAGAAGAGGTATGGAAAGTTTGCGAGGACACTTCAGCTTTCTAGGGTGTCAAGGTTTGTGCCCTTCTATTTACGGTTCGTACTCACCGCTTGTGCCTAGGGCGATGAGAACAATATCTATGTCAGACGGAGTGCTGACGGTAATTGGACGGTGACCTACAGCTGGACCTGACAGAAATTCCCCGGTTTTTTTTTTCGTCTAGGATGGACATTGGACTTGCGTGTATTGCTTGGCAAGAAATTGAAGGAAAATACATCGATCAGACATGTGGACTACGAACTCTTTAACGTCGAAGTTTGCTGGTTCCGTACACGTGATTTGCTTGACATAACCGGCAGGAAGGCAGTCGATTTTTTTCCTCTCATGCCGCGCAATCGTCGCCATCTACTATCAGATATCTCAAGTACTAACCCCGCTATTCTTACTGGAACAGCCGGCCCGACGTCTATCAGCTACTCACGATCCGTCAGTCGCCCGTTTACCGTTTCCCCCAGGCATATTGGCAGCAATTTATGCGATGGTTCTATTTCGAATGGCTGCACTTTGTCTTGTGATGACCAGTTGCTGCTCATATACGCGCGTTTCGTACTAACAGACAGGCATACATCTAGAACTCGTTCCCGGGCCCCAGCATCACGCGTACTTTGAGTATGAACTGCTGACAATCCGAGTTTTCGCACAAGAAGCACCATTCAAGTCTCATAAAAAAGAACACAATTCAAGCCTAAGCTGTACTCCCTTTGGCGTCCCAAGGCAGAATGCTTCTTGTCAAGGTCATCGTCCTCTTGGTTGTTCATTTCGCGAATACCTTCGTGATTTCCGCCGCGACTGGGGGCGACAGACTCGTCGTCGACACAGGATACGCTAAATATCTTGGTAATCTTTCCTATCCCGACACAGTTGCTCATCTTGGTATTCCATATGCGGAGCCTCCCCTAGGTGACCGACGTTTCCGTGCGCCTGTGCCTTTGGACACAGGGCGCATCATGACAGAGGCACGCGGACAGGTGATCAATGCGACGTTTTATCCGGAATTTTGCATTCAAGGCACTACGGGATGTACTTATTCCTTTATTTCATCGCCTTGATAGATATGCACGTTAACTTTTTCCTAGTGGGTGACGCCGGTGGCGCAGGGAGTGAGGATTGCCTAAAGGTTAATATCTATTCTCCGACTAGTGGCAGTAACTGTAAGTCAGCTGAGCGCGGAAGCAAACCTCGGTCTGAGCGTGACTTGCCTCCTATACAGTGCCTGTCTTGGTATATATTCACGGTGGGGGTTACATCTATGGGAACCCTGCCAATTGGCCTTTTGACCATTGGGTACATCAAAGCCCCAACGTCGTGATCGTCTCCATCTATTACCGCCTCGACTCGTTCGGCTTTCTTGCTCATCCAGACTTTGCCAGTTCCTCCGAGTATGGTGACCTGAACGCTGGTTTTCTCGACCAGATCCAGGCACTCAGGTGGGTGAAGCAACATATATCTGCATTCGGTGGGGACCCTACGCGTGTAACTATCAATGGCCAGAGCGCTGGTGGATCGTCTGTAGAGCTGCATCTCGTCGCTCATGAAGGAGAACAGTTATTCTCTGGTGCTATAGCCCAGAGTGTATACCGAGCCGCACTCCCTTCTCCAGAACAACAAAGTGTAAGCAATATGGTAGCGGGCATACTCATATGTTGACTGACCTGTTAGGTTGTTGTTTTCAGCCCTTGTTTGACTTCTACGCCGAAAAAGCTGGTTGTGATTCTGGTGACCTCGCTTCTCAAATGGATTGTCTAAGGAATGCTAGTATCGGTGATCTTGCTCGCGCCCAAGATGCTTCTTTGTCAGTTTAAACGGTCTAAGTGTACATTCAATCAACTGAATTCGGGACAGCTCCGGGCCATACTACTCTTTCCATCCCGTCATTGATGGAAAAGTTTTGACCGAGCATCCGACGACAGCCATGCTTTCAGGACGCTTTGCTCGCGTCCCTCTCATTGTTGGGTCAGTCCTCTAGCGGATTTAAAGGGAATAAGCTGATAGTAAACCTAGCTCAACCTCGAACGAAACGTCGTATACGAGTCTAGATATTGGCCAGACGCTAAAAACTTTCTATCCTGGATTGAACGACACGGACGTGGATGAGTACCTCGCGGTGATTCTCTCTCGTTGTCGCGGAGTTTTCTTTTTTTCTGATGCCAAGTCGTGGCAAGTGCAGGTCTACCCTTCCTCGGACTTCGATTCGGAACTTCAGAGACTGTCTGTGCTGGGTGGAGAGACGGTGTTCATATGCGCAGTGCGTGACCGTAACGTTTTTCTGGAAACTGTCAGATATTCTTCATTTTGTCACCAGCGTCCCATTTTAGCAACCGCGTCCTCTATCGCTGGACTGACCGCCTGGGCTTACCGCTACAATCAGCCAAATCCAACCAGTTCGGATCCAACTATTGTTGCACATGCTGCAGAGAACTGGATGATGTTTCTTGGTACCAACACTGGGTACGTACGATGTTCACATGCTTTCTATATTCAAACTCACAATTGGATTAGATTTAATGGGACAACAACCTTTTCTCCGATGACAGCCGAAGAAACAGCATTTGCAGAAGAACTTATTGCGTATTGGGTATCCTTTGTGCGCGCCAAGAACCCTAATACCTTCAAGCTTACACGTTCCCCGATCTGGTCTGGGTTCGCTCCCGACAGCAAAGATCAAATTGTGCTGCAACAGAACACTACGACGACGAGTGGCAGCTTTGTTGAAGTGGAACCACAGGAGGACGGAGATCGGTGCAGATTTGTGGCTAGCAAAGCGGAGAAAGAACAGAATTGATACTAAGGTGAAAGTCCAAAGGAGTACATCCGAATACCAAATAAGGGAATTTGTACTAAATTCTGTAGATCCGAAATAGCATTTGCACGGAAAATATACGTGTATTGTACGCGTTGTCTTGGCTTTGTACTTTGCTCATCAGCGGCTCCTGGTCGTGCTCATTTTTCCTTCATGTCTCTTCGACTGGAACGTGGAAATGAAAGATTGCAGCAGCCTAGCTCAGTCCAGACGCGTAATTGGATTTCTTCGCTTCTTTTGACGCGTCTCACTGCCTTTTCTTTTAGGAAAATGCGCAACTAAGAGGCGCCCTTCGGGCCTTCGTGGATAACAACGAGGAAGGAAATTATAACAGTGAGGAATACATGGTAACGAATCTGATGAGGACTACGATATGGCCAGCCAAGAAAACGACGAGTCTGATGAAGAAGGCGAAGCTATTTTGCATATAGAACTTCTCTGGGACGACGCGGACAGAGTATATCGCTGCCATAAATGTCACTATGAAGTGATCGATGGCGTATGCCAAGGGCTCAGTTGCGCCACGTTCTTTGAGTGGACTGAGGTAGGCGGAATAAATGTTAATACCTGCAACTTCTATTAATATTTTTGCACAGGAGCATGACAAAATGCTTGGGGAACCATGCAATGTCCTTGGACCGTGCCCTCGTTCAGCGAGGAATGACACCTTTGGACGATTTGCCACAAGATCTTCTGGTGCCTGATGCCTATGCGAACTCCCCGACGGAATTTCAATCTCTTATACGGTGCGGTGCTATAGTCGCTATGTGCCTCAAGTATAAGCTCAGGTTTACAAGGAAGCACGGTATCGTGGCCTCGGCGGATGAGGATTTACTCGACCTTGTTGGTAATCCGGCAATGGAGGAAACTGATCAATGGAAAATATACTTGGGACGTCGAATTCAGCTTCGCTCCAGTGATGGGAATGGGCGCGAATTTCTCATCGACCTACTCGAGGACGCGCTCTTCTACCCCCTACGGTCGGAGTTTTCCAACTGTTTTCCAGAACGCTGGCAGACGTTTGTAAAGGATCCATCGGTATCTCCGGTTGTATGGATAAAAGTAGCCCTGATGATGCAGATAACCGTGAGGATTCAGGTGACTCCGCCGACACAGACGATGATATCCCTGACTTTGAGGTGAACGGTTAACCCAATGTGGTGGGTTCTTATTGGGAATCCCATTTGATCATGCAGGCGGAGGTCGCCGTGTTAGACCCCACCTATAGCGGATGGAATAGGCCGCCCATCGGCTATGTCTGGGATGTCTACGAATCTGAAACTGAGGAAGATGAGGACGCCCATGAAGACGATCCAACGACTCGAGAGGGGTTCTGGGACCCAAGCCAAGATGATATAACCTTCCCGTCAGATTATGAGGACGACATGAAGGGCATCGATGGAGATCTTGACGACGAAGCAGGTACTGAAAACGACGCGGAGAATTCTGTGGGGGAATATGAAATGGACGAAAGCGACGAGACCATAAATGGCACTGTTATTGTACGACACGAAGATGACATTGCGGGGAGCGACTTTGATTCGGACAAAGAGCTAAGCGGGGGACGAATTCGTTTACGGGCAGAACGGTATGAGATACCAATCGGATGTGTGTCAAATAATTTCAAATTTTACTCGTGTCTTTCTTCTGATTCTTCTGACGAGCATTTTATTCCACAGAATGATAGGATTCTTGCGGGGGAGCAGTGCGGGGTAAGTGATGGTCTCTGACGGTTCATGCTGCTGTTTCCTCGTGAAAAACGCCACCAACGATACCCCCATGCTTTTGGTTAATTAATGCGCGCCAAGGACGCGTTGGGGCTATTCTAATGGAATCGAATGCTCTTCCGTCCTATTCCGTCGGAGCGACTTTTTCCTACGTTTTGATCAGCTGCTGCTTTCTTTGTTACATCTCGGGGAAATTATCATTAGAGATGGTCTATACCACATGGGGCCAAGTGATCTTGTGGAATGAGGTACGAGTATACTCTCAAGACGCGCTCGGCCCATGCCCCGAAGGTGTATATCCAAAGCAAGACTCATCAGGCTATCCGCCACGGCATAAAAAATATTTTCTGTGTAGCGACGTGGCGACACTTTTGACGCGTCGGTAGCTTGCTACGATCGATGCGATCACGAGGAATCTTGACTAAGTTATCAAAAACTGACCGCAATCTTTTCTTTCGTTCATGATAGTCTTCTGGCTTGAATACATTGCCGGCATACCTTATTCGAAGTCCTCTTACTGTGGTCCCACAAAATTACGCACAAGGCGAGACATAGGGTCTCACATGTGGCGATGACGCACTGACAACATCCAATCAGGGAAGAGGAATCTATATCCAATCATCTAGCGGGATGAAATTCGAGCCACATCTGGACCGGAAAGACTATACCAGAATAGCCACGCCGTCGCGTAAGCGCGATACCAACATAATTGCGAATTCGAGGTCCAATCTGGAGGTCACCTGGACAATATAAGGCCCTTGACCAGCCCGGGACGTCTCATCATTCTCATAATCTCCGAGAGTGAATTGCCAGCGAGACAGTATAAAAATGAGTGTCTTCGTTCCAAAGGGCCCCAGTTTACGTCTTTTTCGTTTTGCCCACCCCCAAGTAACTCGCCCCCTTACCGCTACCACCTTCAACCGTCTCACTCGCCCTTCCTTCTATCATACCGCCATGCCTACCCACTACACGATCCCCAAAACTCAGAGAGTTGCCATTATCGAGGAAACCGGAGGAAGTATTGTGATCAAGAATGATTGGCCGGTCAAGTCACAAGCGGAGCTTGCCCCCGGAGAATGTCTGGTCAAAATGGAAGCTACCGGTGCGTTTACAGGCGCTTAAACCGCTTTCATCAGCATTGATCCATATCTTGATCCTAGGCTGTTGCCATACTGATCTCCATGCTGCGTTGGGTAAGGAACCGTTCATTATTTCTTCCACGTCGCCTTCTCACGTACCGGACTCAGGTGACTGGCCTCTGAAAGCTAACATCCCACTCATCGGTGGACACGAGGGTGTCGGTATCGTTGTCGCTATTGGAGACAACACTGCCAACTCTCCCGTAAAACTTGGTGATCGTGTTGGTATCAAATGGCTTGCGGACTCGTCGGTATCTTTTCATTTTCTACGTCAGGCCGGTCCGTCCTAATTTTGTTTCCCCACAGTTGCCTGAACTGCGAGGACTGCCGTAATGGCCTTGAGCAGAGTAAGCGGTGATGCTTCTTTTGTGCGGGGCATCAGGAAGCTCATTTTTCGGTTTCTTTAGCTTGCCTGGATGCTAAACTGAGCGGTTTCAACGTCGACGGGACTTTCTCTGAATACGCCGTTTCATACGTCAACCATGTCACTCCGATTCCCGATGGTTTCCCCTCCGATGCCGCGGCCTCCATTCTCTGCGCTGTAAGACCAATTAATGCTCATCTGATAATACACAGCATTCTAAGAAGCTGAATACAGGGTGTCACCGTCTACCGCGCTATCAAATACAGTCAGACTAATGCTGGCAACTGGATTGTCCTACCAGGTGCAGGAGGAGGTCTAGGCCACCTTGGTATATTGATTACCCTTCTCTGTCGGGTCCTGTGCTTATCTGATTCCCTAGCCATTCAATATGCCAAAGTTCGCGGACTCCGCGTTATTGCTATCGGTAAAGCGTGTGTGTTCTTTTTATAGACCTCTCTCACCCTTTTCATAGATAGCGGCGAGGAGAAGAAGGAACTTTGCAAGAAGCTCGGTGCTGATGTCTGGATCGACTTCAAGGAGAGCAAGGATATCGTCGCGGACGTCAAGGCCGCTACAAACGGACTCGGTGCGCACTCAGCCGTGGTTACGGCTGCGTCGGTACAGACTTTTTCCTCCATCATGACGTAATTTAGGCTGACTCTAGAACATCAGAGCTCCGGGTATACCCAAGCTGTCGACTACCTCCGTAACGGTGGTACCCTCATGGCTGTCGGTTTGCCCGGAGAGGCTAAGCTCGAGGCCTCTATCTTCTTCACTGTCTTCAAGGTAAATATATTGATAATTGTTTAAGAGCGAAACTTGATTACCCTTGTCCAGAGCATAAGCATTCTTGGGTCCTATGTTGGTAACCGTCAAGACGCCAGGGAGGCTATGGACATCGCCGCTCGCGGCGAAGTCAAGGTCCACTTTGTCTGCAAAGAAATGGACGAGCTTAAGGAGTGAGTCGAAACATACGCACGTTCGTTCCTATTTCGCTTACTTTCACCCCTTTCTAGCGTGTACGAAGGCATGAAACAGGGCAAAGTCGCTGGTCGTATTGTCTTCGATCTCAAGAAGTAAAAGGTCGCTGAGTTCAATTGGATACGTCGGGTTTTGGTTTCATTTACAAGAACTTAGACATTTAGTTTGTATATCACTCTCGCGCATGGCAGTTTAAGGTTGCCTTTCTTTACTATAATATTGAACTATTTTGCTCGGTATCATGGAACCATCATCACTCATGTTTCTTCTCGATACGATATGTTCAGCACAATTCTCTATATTTGTGTTAATTTCACTTCACGGCTTTTTGTTCGACAGTCAGATTGAATTATTTTGATTATTCAAGAATTCTGACGATGATAAAATTATGCCATCAGATGGGACACGCGATTTCTTGTCTTGCCAAGGCCTTAGTAACTGTACGTATCCGAACTCGACATCACGTCTTAGGACAGGAAGTTGATTTTAACAGCGGTCGTGGCTCCTGAACAGAAACGAAATCGAGTCGATCGTGAACACGAATACAAGCAAGTCCTTTGCACGACAAGATACCTAGTTCAAGATTTCACTTGGCTACCCGAAACACCGTAATTTTCCTTGGCTTCACCCCAACAACATCGTAGGGAATGTGACCGTTCAAGACACAATTGTCTACCGCTTGATCTCATCGCCCTGAAAACAACAAAAGTCAGTATTAACGTAAAAACCAAAACAATCGAAAATCGTACCTTCAGAGCCGCAGACAGCAAGTCCTGGGGAACTTTCCATAACCCCTCTCGCGCACGGCATCTAGCTTTCTCTAGACGACCGCTGCGCCACTCATTCTGTACAGCTCCCTTTGAAGACAGAACGCAGCGGTAACAGTACGCATTGGCAATGGTATCTTGGTGGAGAATCATCGTGCGCAAAGTATCAGTCGCCGATGGGAAGAGTCGGTTACAACAAAAAAAAATACTCGTCTGAGTTTGTTTCATGACCCACTGAACACCTCTTTGCGTGAGACGTGGATGGTTTTAGTCTCTGGAGCGAGGGGTGAAGGCCTCGTGAAAGAATCGATACTTACTAGGTTTGTAGTAGAAGGCGGACATGTTCATCCGACTGGGTGCGAAAAAAAAAGGGAATACAAGATTGGTCCATGTCTATCTGGAACAAGCCTAGAAGCGGAGATTTCAGTTCGGCACGCATAACTCGAATATACAGCCGGCGAGTCTTCTCGAAAGGAGCACTGATGGTCATAGGGATGAGAGTGTGACCGTATATGACCTAAATGTGGAGTCTTAAGTTTGGCTGTTGGATTAGTGAAGATGATTCCAGAACGATCCATTACACCCGGACCGTATCCGCAGTCTCATACTTACTCGAGTCTGTACAGTTTCTTAACAGTTTCGGGCCCGTCTACAACGGACGTGGTAGTCCATATAAACTCGAGCATGAACCCAAACGAGGCTAACCCCTGAATTACAGCAGAAAACGTCCAGATCTCCTGACGTCTTTGGCCGTAGTTAGTGACTGCATTGAACCTTGACGATGTGAGAAAGTTCCATGACTAATCCCAGTTATCCACTGTCGGCATCTTTGTCGTGTCCTCAACAAAACGGCAGTTACATAGAGTTTCTCTTGTTTGCCAATCACCGTGAGTCATGACGGGCCCCGGAGACGAACTGAAAGATAGCTTGAGCTTGACCTAGCTTGACAATGCGGGTGGAGCCGATGGAATGCACCCCAATTATTAGAATGGCAGTCATCGTCATGGACATACTTGGGACAAGCCGGAGCAGACTCGATGATAGTAAGGAGAGTTTGGATAGAAAGCCACGACGAAAGCAGTATGTCGTACCGTTTCCTGTTTCATGAATTTTGGACACACTTGGTGCGTGTGCGAGTCAGCGGGCAGATACGGTGCCATTAACGGACCAAGTTGGACAGATGAAAGTGCCGTCACCGCGGTCCGAAATGTTGGTTGTCCACGCCACACGATCCTGCTCGAACCTTCCAGAATGACCGTGTAAAAACCATTGATTGCGATATATAAGCCTGGACACACGGTCGTCTGCAATTGTTAACCCATCACCTCTTACCACCAATATGACTATTAGAATCGGCGGTCTCTTTAATCTTTCTGTTTCGGGGTCTGCTACCAGTGAGAGTTCAGAGAGTCCAGAGAGTCGCTCGTCTGGAACTTTAAGCCTTCTGAGCACCAGGTGTGTTTCCGTCTCATTGTTGCGCCGTTAACGCCCAGGTATACTGACGACCCCAGTAGATTCAACCTCGGCGAAAACGAAGGCAGGAGCATGGTCACAACTAGCATGGCGGTACCGGGCATGACAGCTGAGGACGTTCAGGTCAACGTGCGAGACGGCCAGTTGACTGTCTCCAGCGAGCGTACCCATTCGTTGGAGGAGCAGGGCGAGAATTATTCCATTAGAAAAAGGTCGTATAAGAAGTTCTCGCAGACGCTGAGTGTCCCTGAAGGCATCAAGGTAAGCATGTTTCGGTTGTGTATATACACAGGGGGGCTCACCGTATGTGCAGGAGGACGAAATCAAGACTACCGTGGAGAATGGTATGTTGACGGTGACGTTCCCCAAGCCGCCGGCAGATGGTCAGTCTGGTTCCAAGAGTATCACGGCTTCTTGAGGAAAAAATTGGGATATTATCAGTATCAACGCTGGCCGGTGTATAAGATTCGGGAGAATTGTATTCATTGTATTGTAATATATGTCGGTTGTAGCATGACATTGGACTGTACACTCGTCAGTTTGGGTGGAAAATAACCAAAAGAAAACAGTTAGCTCAAGTATAGAGCGTCCGTTGTAGTGCGAACGGCAATGGTAGAAACTCGAGTACCAGAACGAGCCTAAGGTTGAAGTTGCCTTTTCGGGCACATACTCTGTCCTTCTTGACGATCACTTTCTTTTCTCGTTTGGATGAAAAGGGCCTTCTCTTCGTCTTCTCTGGTTGAATATTCGAGCTCTGAAGATGAAGATGATACAGAAAAATCTGTGAAACGGAAGTGAGTAATATTCTCATCTAGAGCGCTACCATCAGCTCACCGACATGGGGGACAGAAAACTACCCACTCTTTCAGCATCCTTAGTTGTTGCAGCCCCCGTAGACAACCCTTCTCTTCATCAAGGCAGAAAACGGAATACACCTCATGTTGATGGCCAATGGGCGGCTCATGTGTTTATATCTCTTGGGCTGAACCGGAAATCTCCTTTGTTCTCTTTGCTCAGCGAAGCCATCAAGTCAGCGAAGGATGACGTACCCACGCTGAACGATTTCTGGTCGAAAGATGGTGATACCGCACCTGAGTTGCACGTATCTCTGTCCCGGCCGATATATTTACGTGCTTACCAAAGGGAAGACCTGAAACGCGCCGTGAAGTCTCTCGCGCTCACTCATCCGAGGTGGGTGTCCACTGAATATTGGCATTTACCCATCGTTGATTCTCTGTTACAGGTTCACCATCTCCTTCTCGACATTTTCCGAGCTCACTAACGACGAGCGAACGAGGGCATTCTTAACGATCGAAGTCGGCGCCGGGCACCATCAGGTTCATTTACAGCTCATCCTTTGCTTTCGTCCTCTCCTAACTAGAATACTATAGCTCTCTCAACTCTCGACTGCGTTGGCTCCGACGCTTCAGTCGTTTCGCCAAAAGGACTATTACGCAGAGCCCCGATTCCATGCATCCATCGCTTGGGCCTTACTTGACGAAACCTCCCCTTCCGAATCACATACTCAGTTCCTCACCGTCCCCGGTATCCCCTCCAGGTCGATTGATAAATTGAACAAGAAATACCAGAGTGGGCTCTCAGAATCAATGAACTTCTACGACGCCGATACACTCTGCGTCAAAATCGGCAAAGATGTTTTCTCGTGGCACTTGAAGGGCCCATGACGAAGGTTCCGACAGTCGGATATTGGGACATTCCGCCGCACACACAGCGTTCATCGGTATCATTAACGAGCACATACATACTCACGGACCCATATACCTCATATCTGTATTTCCGATGAAATTGAATCAGTCATGGTTTTTCAATCGTCGGAATCTCACGGCCAACTTGCAGTTGCCAATGCATGTCGCTCACGAACATTTGGAAGAGGGTAAATGCGAAGACCGTAGTACCCGAACCGAGTGCTCACATGCGCTTGAAGTTTGTTAGGCAGCGTCGTGCCTCTGTCCTCACGTAAACCTTATCGATTCTGGAGGAGTCTGTTCGCTTGTGGATGTGAGAGAAATCCATATCTTAAGCACCACGAGAAAGGTTCTCTTATCGAATTGAATACAGGGACCAGGTTAGAGCCTAATCGTTCTAGCCCTTGTTCTTCTCTGCATCCTCTTCCTGCGTGGTTAATATTTAGCACGGCGTGGCACTCTTTCTTGTTTCTTCATCCAGAATTTGTCATGATATCGGTAGCTTCTGACAGAAAAATCCCGCCATGACTGCGTGCTTGACGTTCATCGAATGGTCCTCTCATCAATCTAGAGCACTCTGCTCGCCTGCCAATGCAATACAACGCGTCTCCAGTTATATTAGAGACCAACCACCCGAACGAGGTCAAGCCAAATTGACTCGAGGAATGGTGAGGAAAGTTCCCAAAGTCTCTTTTCCCTTCCGTTTTTTCGCGTGCGAGTAGGGACTAGATTTTAAACTTTAGGCAATTAGAATTAGGGAGCCTAAGTGGCACAGAAGTAACCTTATCTCCTGCTTTATAACGTCATCTCCCTTCTCGCGAAAAGGGCAGGTATGACTACTGGAGCCACAAGCCAAAGGAAGATAAGGAACCCTTCTGTTGTCATTCGCCTAGGCCTAGCCTCATAGGTTTGAAATTTATAAACGACGGTATGAAGTGGCGATGTCTGACAATAATATTTCAAGTACCATATATCCATGAAATGCATAAACTTGGAAAAGTGGATTAAACAGCAAAACAGCAGTTGAGATCGTTAAATAAAAGGTATCAGAGTGGTAACCAGTTTTACCTCTACTAACTAACTGAAAAAAAAGGATCAGCGCAAGCTTGAAACAAGGGATGAAGAAAATCTCGTACACTATATCATAATCAATCATCACTTGGCATCCTATGATCCAAATCGACTTGCATGAGCGCTCGCCCCATCCTTCTTCTTGCAATGATTGCCCTCTCTAGCAAATCGACATTCAAATCCACGTCGCCCCTAATGCTCAGACTCGTCATGTTTGGCCACACCGGCACGCGATACCCATCATCCGTCTTCTCATCTACCAAAAGACGGCAGAACGCGCTCGAGTAGATCCCGTTCAGGGTGAGGTGTGTCAACTGTGGGAACGCCCGCACGGCACTCGAATCAACGGAAATCAGCCCGCGGATGCACGATAGCCTGAGGTGGCGCAAGACCGGGTACGACGTGCAGTTAACGCGAAAGTACACTAGAATCCTGCACCAGTCCGAGGAGGTTACTTCTCGCAAGGTGAGGCTCTCTAACGCAGGTATGGAGAATATCTGGAGGAAAGGGCAAATGGTCGGTGATCCTTGGCTGAACAAGCGGATCTCGAGAGACCGAAGGGAGGGAATGCTGATCGCAGCACGACCGCGTCTGTCAAGAAGTTTGGCGGCGGTGTTGTCGATGTGAAGAATAAGGTTCTGGAGATTCGGAGACCCGGAGAGCATTTCCGCGAGGTGAGGGAAGGTCGGCCAGATCACGAAGCGAAGATCGAGGGTCGTGAGGCCTTTGAGCGGGAACGCGAGCCAGGAAAGCGAGACGCGGTTCAATCGTACGTGGGACAAGTTGGGTGAGAGCCCGCCCCGGAAGAAGGAGGTAAGGTTCGGCGCAACGGAGTCGTGGTATTTGAGGGATGTAATTTCCAGTGTTTCAAGGGCGGGTGCGGGGATTTTTTTGAGGCTGGACAGGGCATTGGGGAGATCTTGCACGGAGGGTATAGTGATCACGAGGCTGCGCCAGCGGTGGCTCTCTGGAATGAGCTGGTTAAATACGGATTTTATGGAGATGTGTCGGCAATCGAGGCTGATGTCCAGAGGAAGGCACTGTGACCGCATGAGATGCTCGGTCACCCAGGGCATGGCGTTTCGAAAGTCTTTCACGCTGGGGAGGTTGTCTAACGCTTTCCGGGACCGGGAGATGTGCAGAGTGGTCCACAGTGCTGGCGTGTGAATCGCCACTTGCCGCCACCGGTGGCAGACATGCATCACCGTATTCATAAAGGATGAGACCTTCTTCACTGTGATAGGTACGAAAGGCGACTTCGGTTCGACGAGCGAAGGGTATGTAAGGACTGATCCCGCCTCAAATATGAGTGTCAGAAGTTCATTAGGGAGAGTGTGTATGATATTTGAGGTCGCGACGTCCTCCATTTCCACTGGTGGAGGCGTCCGAAGTTGACCCCTGGTAAACGAGGACCTGCTGTCTTCCTGCTCATCCTGGCCGTTCTACTCTCATCGATAAGCCTTCCAACTCAATACTGAAAATTTTGCCCTGACTCACCCTGCTTGCAGCCCCGAATACGCAGCTCCGTCGGGCCTTCTCCGACGATGGAGTCGACATAGACGCCCTCTCCGCCCCGGACTCCTCATCGTCTGACTCTGCGTGGGCCAACGAACGAAAGGAATGATGGGTCTGGTGGACGATAGGGAGCGATGTCTGACGAGCACTCGCGACGTTGATAGCCGACGGTGAGATGACAGAGGCTGGGACCGAGCGACAGGACTCCAAATTTCGCAGAGCTGCATTGGAGGCCTCGAGCCTGTCTTCTTCGTCCTTGAGGTTGAGTCGTCCATGTCTGCGTTTCAGTGTGGTTGACATGCTGGTCCGAAATCGTTACGCAAATCATGTCTGCAAGAGGTTAGGATAGCGCACCTCATTTCGCTGCTCGTCATCAGGATCCGTTATTTGCGTTGGCCAAAATGCGTGGACAGAGCGTTTACTGGCCGCAGTGCCCAGTGAGCTGGAGGAAGTGACGAATTAAGGTACTTGTACGGCGACAAGCGGTCAGCCCATGACACCGCCACTTGGTCGTGCCCTTACCACGTGTAAACGGAAGATCTCAGACAACAGATGTACATAAAAGATTCGGCTCTTCAGTCTGACATTCGGATGGCATCCCCGGCCACTGATGGAAACGTGATGGAAGAAATGTTGGATTCTGGCGGCGGCATTTCGGAAACAAGACTGAGGACGACTCACATTTTTGGTCGTGTGAGCACAAATGAATTATTTGCCTTCGCAGACCACTCAACTTGTCTATTGTTACACTCGAGGCACTCAATCGCCGTAGCAGGCCAGTCAAGGATGATGTGCGGGCCTCAAAAGTTGCATTCAAAATGTGAAACAGAAGATGCGGTGGTGCGGGAACAGGTATCAGATGTAGATGCCATCGAAGTGAGAATGCCTTACTTTCTTCCGCTTCCGCGATGGCGGCAGTTGGAATAGAGCGACATGCCGCAGCACTTATCGAAGGGGACCCTCACCCCAAATTGGTCAATAGCAGGTCATGAGGCTTGAAAGATAAACTTGTGTGACCTCCGAATGGCTACAGGGCAAAAAAAAGTTGGAATTGCAACAGCATGGAGGATGCAAGCTAATACTGTTGCACGATGGAGATTACACCATGGGCGAGCGCTCACCAGAACTACAACGAATCTCTTCCCAGAATATTTCCGCTCTCACTCACCAAGCTCTGCTTTACCCCAGCTAGCACCTTCTGACGCTCCTCGAGAACAACGCCATGAGAATCGACTTGCTTATCAAAGGTTGCAAATAACTTGAGCTTCATCCTGCGGCGTCACAGAGTCAACAAACAAAATTTCTAGAACCATGAAAGCGTACGTCATATGAGCCTTAACGAACTCGAGTATCTTTGAGTACTTGACCATAATGACTGAAAGCAAATTAGGCGACACAACACATAGTGCGATGCATGAATGCTCACCATCTGCCCCAGCAACCCATTCGTCTATGGTACAGTTCTTCCATTTCTCCATCAGGACCTCATAATTGTCCATATGCTCTTCGACGAACAGGTTGGCATCACGTCCAAGAAGTTTATCGAGGGTCCCTTCATTGTTGCCCTGTGATAAGGTGTGAGTTTCGTAGTCATGGAAGGATTCGTTGCCCGGGTGTTGACGATGTCCACGACTTGAACTTGTAGGACTGTTGCGGTATTCCGAGTGGCGCATCGGACTTGACAGAGGGTCAGGGGAGAATGATCCAGGATGTTTCTATGATCAAAGATCTGAGAATGACACGAAAATAGACGAGGGCACATACGTCTGGACCATCCATTTTGTATCTCTTATTCTGACCAGAACCATAGCCCGTATCATAGGCATACATTAGATCGTCTTCACCTAACTCGCTCCTACTTCGCTTACTCCTATTTTCGTTTGCGCGATAAGGGCCACCAGGATGAGGCTGCGACTTGTGTTGAAATTTCGTGTTCGGCTTGACAGGAGATGCAAAAGAGACATCAGGAACAGCAAAAGAGGTGGGTATATGCGGGTCCTTTTCGGTAGGCGATTGCAGAGTATGAGGATGGGAGGGATCAGTTGCTTTAACGGCGAGATCAGCGCCAGCAAAGAGCGGAAACATTGGCAGAGACATTGGCAGAGGATGCGGGGCAACGATGTTGGGAGTCGACGTCTGGACGCGCCTGGGAAATCCAGGCAGAGGCCCCTTCTCCTTCTCTATCGCATGTTCTGAGGTTGACGCGCGTCGTCCAGGTGCAGAGATGGTGTTTTTGCCGGAAACAAAAGACTTCTTCTTCATCAGATTCTGGAGGTTCAGAGGCGGCGCACTGTCAGTGTTTCCATTAGCGTCTGCATTCGAATGAAGCGGATCCGTTCTATCGGGAGCAAAAGCAGACTTTTGAAGAGGGGCAGGGGAATTTTGATGAGCTGCCCGCGACGCTGGGCGAGACCTTGTGGGAACGAAAGGATGTCGAGCGCTCATCTGAAAAATGGAGCGGCAACATGCGAAGGTTCGCGGTAGGAAGACAAGAAGGATTGACACAAATAGAACAAAACAGCGCGGTATTCATCAGATCACGTGTACATTCTGGGGGAAGGAGTGTTTTTGTAGCTTCTGCAAGATCGTCGAGGCTGACTGGCTCTGTCAGATGCTTCCAAGGCTCCGCCGTTGCTGCCATTGAAGCACTGCTTTATGTCAGGGAAGTGGATAGCTGTCCCGTCTCACATTCATTCCAGTGCCAGATTTTGGGCACAGTCACTGACCCAGTCATGAATGATTATGAAATTCCCTGCAGTGGACTGTCAAGTGTCACACATACTCGGGGTTGTTGAGTGTCAAGCAAGGAAGAATGGTCTCCTCAGACTTCATTCTATTTACAGTTGACTCTCAGAGCTATGGGTTACAGAAGACTATGGGGTTGGAGAGAGGACATTGTAGATCAACTTCGAGGCCCCCATAGGGGCTTATATTTTGTTAATAGGCCTATAATATAACATACTTGCTATTTAGAAGTGAAGTAGCTCATAATCTGGCTGTCCTGAAGTGAATTAGCCTCATCAAGCCTTGTTTTTTGTCTGAACAAAGCCAAGATGCTTTCCAAGTTCTGAGTGAATGGATCATCCATGATCTTGATGTGAACTCTTGAATGCAGCTTCAAAATCTGATGCTGACTCAAGCTTCTCAATGATGATGTTCTCATCAACAAAATTTCCTGCTTCATCCAACCACACTTCTTCCTCTGCTGAGACTGATCCCTTTTCAGTGAGCCTAGCAAGAATACTTGCTTGCTTTGCCTCAGTATCACCTTTGCAGGTTTGGAGGGCTTTTTTCAATTCATGAATGGTTGGAAATGTCATACTAGGACTTCTAGCACAACAGAAAGGGCAGTAGGGGCAGTTGATAATGGCACATGAGAGTTTTTACATTTCTCTAACAACAGCCCTGACATAGCAACCATCCTGCTCCCTTAAATTGACATCACTAGATGCTACTGTCAGCATAATGACTAAGTATCTATGGGGTACCAGAGAGTGGATTCTTGGAAAAAGCTATGGGGTATGGGGTATGGGTTTATGGCATCAATTTCCCTGTGAATGAGGTCAGTGGATCCAAAAATCTATGGAGTATGGGGGAGTATGGGTTATTAGACGTATGGGTTATTAGAGAGTTGACTGTACTTCATAACATTGATTCTATTACCTAACTATTAGTGTGTAGAAGATGTAGTTAAATAGGTAGCCAAAGTTTGATGAGACTCACGCATTTCCCATTTCCGAGGGTGCCCTGCTGATATCCGGGCGAATGGCTGGAGCATTACTGTTCATCTCAAAGTGATGATATTGACACTGACAATGTGCATGCATATTTATGTATAATTGATCAAAGGCAACTGGTCTACACCTAAATACTAGAACCTTAACGGTGATGGTACTATACATGTATACAGCATACGTGGTATTTATAAAACATGTACGATAAGGGAGAAAGGTTTTGCATGTACGATTAGCCTTTCCAAACAGATGTTTAGCGAAAGCAAAGAAAGCAATGATGAAAACTGTCATAAGAATCGTCGAAGTCGTGAAAAGCGGCGTCAAAGACCCGTCCTGCGAGTCATCACGCCTTCGTGATGACAGCTGAGCCGTTAATGAGGGTTTTCTGTAGTAGCATGATCATAGCGGCGACACACGTAATAAATTAGTACCGGAGGAAAATAGCTAACTTTCAGATTAGAGTGGGAGATGAGATATCAAATAGGGAGTTGCTCACTCATGAAGCCAACTTATCGAGACACATTGGTATTGTTTTCGCGACCTGCTGAAGAGCTGCGCCGCCCCTGCCGCTCACTTTCCGCTGCGATTCAGAAATTCAACATTCATGGACCGGGACAATGCATCGGCGAATTTACCGCTACCGCGTCCGAACTGCACATCGCCTATAGAATCAACAGTCAGGAAATGAATCAATACCGAGATGCAACATTACCCTTATTTAAATTAGTGCTATCTTCGCTCACTCTGCGCTCGATGAGACTCCATCGATGGCGTTTTTCAACCAAGCCAGGGGGTATCGGGATCGTTTCTGTACGCACTTTTGTGCGGACGGGAACAAAGGACGGAATGTCAGGTTGAGGAAGGTGGATAGCTGTTATGTGATTGAGCGGTGATTGCAAACTGGATATCGAAGACGCAGCAGATGCGAGACAATTCAGCGGCTCCGCTGGGCTTGATGAGGGCTCGGGGAAAGGGTATTCGAATCGAGGAGATTCGATATCGAAAGGTGTCCCGATAATTTCAGAAGGAGAGTGTAGCCTCAATTCAGTTGGTCCTAATGACATTGTTGGGACAGCAACCGTAGGTTTCGATGACTGTAGCAACGGCTGTTAGAAAATGAATGAGGGGAAAGAATGGAATGAGAAAGACCCCACCTCTTCCTCTGTCGCGCACATATTATGCCTGTCGTCTTTATGATGAAATGATGACGTTTCGCTCCACATCGCAGTTAATCCGATCGTACCTGGATCCGATGTCTCCTTGCCAATAGCGTCCGAGGGGGGCTCGTCAGCCATATGCATAAACGAGTCTGCAACAAGGCCGGGAGACGACTCGAGGCAATTTTTGCACTTATACGGTACCGGGCCGGAGGAGACAGGTAACGGTGCGGAACCATCTAGAACCAGTCAGACACGGTCACGTGAATATAACAAGCGTGTCTCCCACCTCTGAAGAGACTGACATGCTCGTCCAAGACGACGCGTGCGTTGACGCTGAAGAAACCTTTCGCACAATAACTTGTATGAAATCATTCCTCCCCTTTGTTATCCCGCCGACTCCAACGTAAGAGATGGACTGGTTTTGGAGATCGGGCGAAATCCATGAGAACCCTCCCCAGAAAATATAAAGTGACCTACCCCGATTTTCTCCATTTCTATATCAGTATGGGTTCAGCGTCACCTACCAGTGGCCCATCAACGATGCCAACATAATCTCATAAAGGAACCAAAAAGTGACGACGCCAAAGGCGTCCGAACAAGCCTCGTCATATACTCCTTGATCAACACAATCCGCCATCTCATCCGCCTCCGATGCACGGGAATTAAGTTCGCATGTTCCATTTCGTAGAATACGACGTGTTGCGTTATACTGAAATCATACGCAGGAAAACGAAGAGATGGAGGATAAAGATGACACCGAGGTCGTGGAGATACCCATTAACGATCTTGAATGTCCCCCATGTGGTTCGGGGATGTTGCTTGGTCGCCACTTGTGAGTGTATTATCGTTGTTCCGGGAAATGTTTCTCATCGGGATAGACTGTTGGCGCATGTAATACAAACATTTCTGTCGTTATATTCCTCTCGCGTTCGGCTGCATCATGTACGTGCCTCCTTTAATGCCCACATGTTCCTTCAAATCTTGCACCATCTCCAACGGTTTCTTATATGCAGTGTGCGGGTCGGGCCATGGTTGCCGAAGTCATGACATTCCGTTCCAGACCTGTTTGACATCCGGACCTAAGATTTTCCTCTCCTGTTTATTCCTTTTTACAAATACACCTAGTACATATTCTGACAATTATGTTTTGCTTCCACCAAAGGCGTCGCGACTTCGTTGATCAAGGACGATTGTGTCCGTTCTGTTAATATGCCTTCCACGCTAAATTCGCAAAGTTTGTTGGCCTGCTAACGGCAGTACGTCTTGCTGACCGCATGCCCAGTATGGCGTGTCCAACAGAACAAGGCTTTCTGCCTCCCCTGTAAAGACACCACACTGCAGTGTTGTTGGGCACTAAACGACCGTGACTTAATCCACGCCACCGCGATCTTGCCTACCTAGGGACCGGAAGACCGACATGGTGACAAAGCAGCCGGAGATAGAAAAGGCAAAAACTAGGTCACATGATGCCTCACAGCCACAGGTCATTTGCTTGGCAACAGTTGCCCCGAAGTTCCGCAACCTTGGCTTCGGCTCAAGGTCGGGTGACGGTACAACGCACCACAGGTCGGCGCCTCGGCAATGCTCGCTCTCTCGCGCTCACGAAGCTGCCTTGCAGCATTTCCTTTCCAAATAGAAGGAAAACGTCCCTCTACCCCATACCAGCTTTAACATAACGGAAGATCAAAAGTCCTACATCTTGGATATGGGAACTGGTCGCTTATTGCAGTTGCGATGACTCGGGCTGCCGGTGCTAGATCGGACTACCTGTGAGTGTCCCTGGCTGCGCAACCGCGCAAGATCCCTAAGCTCGTCAACCTCTTGGAAGGACTACGGATTCATATGCTACATCCTTGTGGCTGGCCTATTCTTTTTGGTGTACGTAACCTCAAGGGCTGGGAATAGATCCTGAAACGCAGCCTTATCTGTTGCCCCCATGAGAGATATCAACAATGTTGGGAGGACTCAATAACTGACTGCGGTACCGGCCGGTTTGGCTCTTACCAGCACTACGCCCGTGGCAAGTCAAATGACCAAGAGCCCCCGTCCTTTTACGATGTCGACACGTCTGTTTAGCGCTTCAGAACGAGGAGGTACGTGATCAAAACCCGCCCAACCCGCCCTCACATGTTCACTTGATATAGTACTAGCCTCTCCGATCGTCGTTCTTTCCGCAGTCTGTTTTTTCTTCAGCCTCATTTCCGAGTCATTGCCAGTTTTCGCGCTCGAGAATGGGGTTGGCCGACTTCCATGTTCGTAGACTTCGTGTCTCTGTTGTTAGGCGTTCGCTGACGGACCTTTGCAGTCATGGGTTACAACAGTTTGTCGTTTCTCCAAAGCATGTCTTCTGCTCCCCGTTCCTGACCCTCTGCAGCTTGGAATGCCTACTATGTTTGTCAAGTCCGCGTTCCTGTGGTCCTTCTCATCTTTGAGTCTGATTCATAGTGTAACATTGACGAAGATACAATATACGAGACGGCCGAATTAATTGTATCGCTGGGTCTGAAGGTGCGTGCATGCACTGCGAGTTAATTTGGTTCGTTAATGGAAGCTACATCAGGAAGTGGGCTATGAATACATGAACATAGATGACTGCTATGCCGAGAAACAGCGGAACTCGGATGGTGACATCGTGGAAAGTATGTCCTGATGCATGCGACCTTCTTGGCACTCATATCAGTAACAAGATGCCCAAAGGTTTCCATCTGGAATGCGAAATCTCACCAACCGTATACATTCTCTTGGATTGTACGCTCATCCCTGCTTTGCGGCCACCGAGTCATATTTATGATGTTCTCTTGTTGTAGAAAAACAGGCATTGTAGGCTGGTGTCTCGATGTCTAACATGAACCTTATCTTTCCCTAGTACGGCGATTCAGGTTGGTACACCTGCCAGATGTATCCCGGATCATACCAGAACGAAGAAAGGTTCGAGGCTCCTTGAAGAAGCGGTCGCACTCACTCATACGATTGCAGAGATGTAAGACTTTTCCGTGAGACGTGGGGTTTCGACCTTCTCAAGTGAGTCCTAAATGCCCGTCGTCGTAATAATTGCCGACGGTTGCAACATCAACAGATACGACAACTGCGCAGGTGGCGTTGTTCCTCGACTTTCGGCCTGTACTCCTTGTAATGATCAATATATCAGTGCCATTCGATGATGTTATCCGTGAGGGCATGATTGGGAGTACGTGAGCATTTCTAGGCTGTGATGCGGATATAATAATAACCTCTGCAGAATTTTCGAGGATGGCCAATGCGATAACAGACCTTGCGAGTACCACCGGAAGGCCTCCGATGCTGTATTCTATTTGTCAATGGGGTCGAGTAAGTCGGATGTCGTCGATGCGCTATGCGTATCGTGTCCTGATGATCGTTATCTTCCAGCTGCAGCCCTGGCTCTGGGCCAGAAATCTTGGTCATTCCTGGAGGGTGAGTTCAAGTTCTTGTTTCTCCGACAGTGTAAACTGATAGCCCGCAGACAACAGATGACATCTGTATGTCAGCTTTTCTTGCCTTTTGGGATCTCCATCTGACTTCGAATACCTAGCCGCACGATGGTCATCAATTGCTAGCATTATCAATCAGTAAGATCGGAGTCAATTCCCTTCGCCAGTCTCACTGACTTTGCGGTAGAAATTCCTTCCACGCTTGGGCGTCGGATTTTTATGGTCACAATGATATGGATATCGTATGTAGATTTCTAGTCTCTTATCTAGCCCTAGCACTGATCCGTTCTCTATTGACCCGTGACAGCTAGAAGTGTCAGTTTCGTTTGTTCTTGGCTAGCGTAACCATTTAATTGTCTTGTAGCGGCAATAAGGGTTTATCGTATGAAGAATCTAAGACCCACTTTACTGTGTGGGCCTTAATGAAATCACCGTTGTTGATAGTCAGTTGGATCTAGCTTATCTTCGAGCCCTTACTGATCTATGACAATAACAGGGAACTAATGTCAGTCTTCTCTTCCATTGAGCATTATCTGCCTAATTCGTCCCCGCTCCTAGCTCAAATCAATATCTAATCAAACCTTAGACATTCTCAAGAATGAAGAAATAATTGCCATTAACCAGGATCCCATCGTAGGCACGGGAATAATACCGTTTAGATGGGGCTATAACGTAGGCTTTTTGTTCTTCCCCTAAACGCGCCGCCACATTGACCGTCCCCCGTTTGTTAGCCTGATTATACAAATGATCCAAGATACCCAGCTCAGTATTGGAGCGGGCTTAGTCAAAATGGGACAGTTTTTATGTTGGTACGGTTGTCACCATGCACTGAGGTTCCTGAGCTAAAATTTGCCTCATAGATAAATGTGCATGAAGAAGCAACGGATATGACATTTCGATTAACAGAATCACCTTGGATGCGTGCGGGAAGCCAATACTTAGTTCGGGTATGCAGATGCGTTCATTACCTGAGAAACCCGTGGTTCTAATTCGCCTCATCCAGGACCTTTGGACCCATACAGACAACGGCACAGCTGTCCGCGAATTTACTGCTCATTCCGTCCCCGCCCATGGTGTTGTGGCGCTCTTATTGCGAGACGCTGGTGACGAGCCCGAAAACCTATGGCCGAAATGTGCCTTCTATGAGTGGTGGTCAGATAATTGGTGTATTGATCGTAACGGCACGAAAGTATCCTCCTTGAGCATGCCGTCGACGTTCAATTCGAACCTCATGGCGGTAACGTTTGTTTTTTCAGCTGTAAATGTCTTTGAATATCCTCTTCGTCGTTTAATACTGCTCATATTGCGTAGAGATTATTTTTAATAGATGTATACACCATCCTACGAAGCACATGGTCCGTGGCTAGAGTGAGAGAAGCGAAGCTACAGCACCGACATGCAATGTGGGGTATCAACAGGGGAGTGACAAAACCCTTGTTAAAATAATAGTGGCAGCGAATGCTCGCAGATGCCACATTATGCGCCGCTTCGGAATAAGAGGAGTGTTTCAAATGGTTCAAACCCCGCGACGACGTGAAATATACACGACGCTTCCGTCAAAAGCTCAATAAAATTGCCAGGGCTGGGAGAGCGGAACTTTCCATGACACGTTGTGTCGAAAGAAACATTGTGCTTGGTACTCGGCGTATGTAAACGGTATCCAGGAGACAGCCTTTATACTCTCCTCCTAATAGAACCTCGCAATGTGGTTCGCGCCGCTGGGAAAAACTGTATTAGTTGGCTATGAGACGACCGAGATCTGATGTGATGTAAACCTGTATAGAGTGTGAGGAAGGTACATGGTAACTATGCTTTGATGTTGGGGAAACGCATGAAAAGCGTGTATTTTATATAAGCAGGACGACTTGAACTGCTAGGAAATAAGACTCCAGGACGGCAGAACTTCGTATGTAAATGGATCTAAAACCGATCAGTGATGGAAACTTAAAAGTACGTCGGAACGGGATGTGGCCCCGGACTTACTCAGGCCGTGAAATTTAAAATGATCCTACGTGATGCGTATTCGCAAATACGCATCCGGACGTATCCGGATCCCCTTCACAGCACGTCCACATCTTCATTGTATGTCCAGGCCTTCCATGTGTGTTGATCGTCGGCGAGAATTCAAACACTTCTAGTGCTCCTGCAAAATGCCGATAGTTGAGGTTATGTAGTAAACTTACGTTCTTATAAAGACGTACCTGGATGATAGGCACAGGGACCATCAGACAGACACTGTTGAAGGCCATGGTCCCACCCATTCAGAAAAACCCTGCCGCAGTTGATGCATGATGGTGATGTTGTGGAACACGGGAAGTAAGGTGCTCGTTCGGCGCTGCGCCGCTTTTTGTGTAGAACTTTCCGTCGCTGTCGGGACGGGGAGCTAGATGGCGTCGTGTCTGCTGACCTACAGCGCAGTTCGCGAACAAAGGCGCGACGTATAAACGAGTTGCCTCTCGCCAGTTTATCAATGATATCACGAAGCTGGGATTCTGGGATAGACGCGATGACTGATTGTAATTCCGTTTCGCCGATCCAAAACCCATCGTCGGAATCAATGTCAGATTGGGGCGAGGGAGAAGAGCATGGACTAGATGAGGGCGTAGATTGTATGGCATCTTCGAAGGGATGGGGTCGATGAGCAGTCCTTTGGTTATGAGAAACTGAACTGACGTTCATGCTGGAGTCAGTTGAAAATCGGGAAGGAAACGGTGGCGAAAGGTAAAGGCTACGGAATACAAAGGGATGTGAAACTGTAATGCCATTGGCACAAAGGCAGATATTAAATAGTACCCAGGCGTCACAGTCACACGCCACTCGTGGAAAACAATAAGAGTTGGAAGATCGCGGTTCTAAATCAGGAATTCGAGCGCTAGCACGCTGTGCTATGATGCAAGTCGTACGCGATAATCCGGAGGCCGAATAGTAATCGATGACATCTGGGCCGACGTCAGTAGATATCGACGAACGAAATAATGTTTTTAAGTTACATCGTAAGTGCTCGTGTGATCAGAGGCGCTGCTTTTTCCGTGGTACCGCGGGCATGTGTTCTTGGATAACACATCCCCCACTTCCGGTGTTTTCTTCGCAGCAAGTCCATAAAAAATTTTCCGGGTAAGCGCGCCGATTCGCAAGGGTGTCCATAGGGCCATGGCAATCCTCATCCCAGTCTACAAAACATGCTTCGTCCACCTCGATTTCGCCTGTAAATTGAGAATTTCAGAATTTTCAGATACGAAGCAGTGAAGTAAAACACTATACCAGGATGAAAGTTGCATTCGTTGGGCTCTCGCTTCACCTCCAGATCATATTCTTCGCCACAGTTTCCACAAGTCTCCCATCGTGGTGCTGCCTCTCGGGACCTCAGATGGAAAGACACGAGCTCTCTAGTCATCGCCCGTTCAACAGCGGGAACGGTGTCCACTAGATTGGCGATAACCTGGCGCAGCTGCCTCTCCGAGACAGATGAAATAGCTTGGTGAAGGGCGGCGCGAGATGTCGCGTCGATAGCCACTTCGCCACCTTCGGATGAACCGTCCTCGTCCTCCGAAGACGATTGAGAATCATCCTGGTCGGCATCAAGGTCTTCTCCGTCGTCAGAAGAGTCGGTAAGCTCTGTCAAGTCAATGACTTCAACTGGATCGGGTACCATGGGATTTATTCGACGTGAAAACGTGACGGTGGTGCCAAGTAGGACAGGGAGATATTTATAGGCAAGGCCACGTTGGCTCAACCACAACAAATTTTCACCACCTTATAAAAGACGCCTTTGTTAGTGCGAGAACAAAGGTTAACAAAAGAACAAACCCCGTCTGACGGTAACTATGTTCCGCGTGCATGGAAGTTCAGTTCAAGATGAAGAACCGGGCGGAAGCCATTTTGAAATACACACAAACACCGGCTTCGGAGTCTGTACGGTCCACTTCCGCCTTTAAATTAACGATCAATTCAAGCATTGGAAGGAGGTACTCAAGACTCAGACCAGGTCTCAGGACGGCAATTTTTTGTGAAAACGGATCAGGAAAAAAAATGTCATTGAAGATGCGGTACCGTAGGTGATATTGTGAGAGTATACAATATGGAGTGTGGAATGTGAAGGTGAAGATAGAGTAATGAGAAGATGGAAACTTAACTGAAGCCCAAAATCATGCCCGAGTCAACGAGAAAAAAAAGTCGAGCCATTCCATGATACAAAGGCACTGGTGTTTCCTACGAAAGTCATAGGTACCGTTAAAAATGAACTGCCATGCGGTTGCGTCGTCAGACACAGAGGACTCACATTCAAATTGTCAACAAAACGCCGCACTTCACTTGGATAAATTGGGGGCCGTGAACATCCGGGCAGGCGGCGTTCGGACAAGGGCCAGGTGACATTTTGATACTAACCAATCGAGCAAATGTCCAGGCAGGTAACGAGAACAAATTGCCAAGACCTTAGTATGTCGCATACACAGAGGGTTTTGCGCAGGCGCCGCAGGAATTTTTTGGAAGTTCTGTTGGTTCACAGGAGTGAGTAGCATAAAGAAGATAGTCAGAGGTAAATTAATCGTTGAGCCTTCCTCCTAGCTCAATGGAAGATGGAAAACAGAAGTCACCATAACAGTGAATGCGCGAAAGAATGCCATAAATCAATAGGACCCCGAAGGCTGATTTTCCAATAGATGAGAGCTTTACGGAAGAAATTCTTTCCCCGCTCCGCAGGTCAACTTCTGTAGAACAAAGTATACACTAGGAAATCGACTGTAATATACAGAAAAGACGCACCATACCAGTTAATGAACATTCAATACCGCTGTTCTCTCGATTCTAGAGAACCGGCGTAGAAGGTATCCCAAGTGAACTTTGTCGTTTTTCCATAAAATGTGTGGGAGCAGAGTAACAGTAAGTTAACTGGCAAGACCCCAGGAAGATGGTCCGGCTTCCACTTCCTTTTATCAGCTATCTCGTCCGCAGCAGCCATCCATAGCTTGATCAAGGGCTGAACGAAGTTGAACGTCCAAAAGAGGAGTAAGATGTGGCTGTGCCCGCGCTGCAGTCACGGTCCGAACTCTTCCGACCTGCCTCGTTCCTTCAAACAGACGAAAGGATATTATCTCAGCCGGCCCTGGGCCCATCTCAGTCCAATATTGTCACCTGAACCTAACAATTCATTTTACAGCTATTTCCATACAGGAAATGTGCTCCTTTTGTGAGTGGAAAAAGTAATTTGAACTTTATAAGCAAGGCTTTGTGGATTTTAGAGTCAAGGGTTTATGGGCACCTCTCCAGTTTATGGTGGTTAAGGCTATTTTGGGAATCTCAGAGTGGCTTCAATGCCTTTCAAGGCCCAATTTCTTGATTTATAAACAAGTCCAATGTTTCTTTTCTCTTTCACAAAGCTACCACTGTCAAATGGATGTAATTATCATAACACATTGAAGGCTTGGAGCTTGGAACTTATGGATAGTGCTGATCAGCTTCTTTAGTGAGGAGCTAGCTTGAATTTCAAGAATGACTGACCTTATGTCCTCTATGAAATACTGCTTCAATATAATATAAAAAATCTTTTTTTCTATTTTTCTTTGATTAGAATGTCACAAAGTCTCATGCAGATTCAAAGATCTGGTTCAGAGTCAGTCTAAGGGAGTCTGAACTAGTGTCTTCATCTATGTTATTCTCATCATCATACACATGATCTTCATCTAAGAAAGTGATATGTATTTATAGGACCTAGTAGAATACACTATTAGATATAACATAGACCTCATACAGCATAGCAATAAGTGGAAACATGGTGAACAATCATTGTACCTAGTAGAATACACTGTTAGATATAACATAGACTATAAGATATTAGTCAGTGAGATATATGAAGTAATACAAGTAGATACTCACTCTCACACAGCATAGTGATAAGCAGAAATGCAGTGAGAGTGCTTGACAGATGGCATTCAGTATATATTGTCCATCCTGATATAAAAGGGTATTGAGCTCAGCTGGTGGGATATGATGGAGCTTCTGCTTGCTAATCCAACACTCCCTCTCAAGTGGAGCAAAGTCCAAGCTCAGTAGCAAAGTGCTTCACCTTGGCTGAAGATAAAGGCTTGGTGAGAGCATCAGCAACCATGTCCTCAGTAGAACAATAAACAAGATGAAGGGAGCCTTCACTGATGATCCAGCAAATAAAGTGAAAGTGAATATCAATGTGCTTGGTGTTATAATTTTTTCTTATCTTATCATTTTTATTTCTTATCAGGGCATCTATCTCAAGCATCTACCTGTGAGTATGGGGAAAATTATGTAATCACAACAGAAAGACAGTGCCATTGTACTTGGTTGCTTCACCCATGGACAACACTCCATTGTCTACTCTCTGATGACCAGGCAGAACAAGCAGTATAGTGCAAGACAGTATAATAGGCCAGTTATATTTATTATGACTCAGACAGTATATAAGTAGGATAGCTCTCACTGTAGTAACTCAGCTTTGAGCTATAAGTTTATTCTATACTTCTCTTCTCTCAAGCTTAACTACCCTAAAGCCTTGATGCACACTGACTACACAAAGAAGTGAACTCTGATATGACTGTATGAATATAATACAGCATCAGTTTATCATGTATATAAGATCATGTGCTGAGCAGATCTAACAGTTAGCTCAAAGCTTTCTGCTTCTCTTTTCTTATGCACACTAGCAGTGAAGGAAACTGAATGCCACCAACCTCAATCCCTGATCTTACCAACAACTTCTTTAGATGTTAGACCTAGCTTGCATGTGATTTAGACACATAATAAACTAGCACTGCATTATGTTTATAGTCACACTAGAGTTCACTTTGATATGTTATTCCAGGCAAATACTTTAAGGCCAAAGACAAGCTGGGCTCAAAAGAAGATAGTGTGAGGTAAATTTATAGCTCAAAGCTGAACTACTACAGTGAGAGCTATCTTATTTATATACTGTTTAACTATGATAAATATAACTGCCTTTCTATTATACTGTTCTGTGCTATGCTGCTTATTCTGTCTGATTGTCAAGGAGTAGACAATAGGGAATTGTTTGAGGATGAGATGACTGAGTATAATAGTGCATATCATTGTGATTACCTAATCATTCCCACACTTGCAGGTAGACACTCATAATAAGATAGGCACTCTGATAAGATAAGAAAAAGATGATAAAATAAGAAAAAATCATAACATCACCTTTTTCTTAAGATTATCATCTCAATGAATCAATTAAGAGCAATTTTATAGTTCTGGATAGTATTATCTATATGCATATCTTGCTCATGGATTCACTGATTTGATTCTGGTCTATAATCCTTCTATTTCACCAAATAGTAGACAACCATTTGAGTGCTCTCTTCTTATGCATGGACTTTTTGTAATTTATAGTTGAGAATTTATTCCACTTCATAGTATTTCTTCTCTCTGATCAGATTAGATTGAGATAGTGGTGGCAGTTCTTGGTTGAGGAGCATGAGGCTAATATATGATGTTAGAAGTGTTTTATTAAAAAATGAGTGGATACATCAGGAGTCTGGTAATTATAGTTAATATGCAGAGGCACCAACCTTTGCTATAATTAGAAAGAGGCTAGTGCATTTGTCTGCTAGTTTGCATTTTGAATGAGAAAAATAAAGATTGGTCATGTCCAACCAAACTTTGTTGTTGATAGAGTATTCATATGCTAGATGGTAATGTTTATCATATTGTGTCTTCATTGCAGCAGCAGCTCTTTTGAGGGCAGAGCATGTTTTGACATGAATAGAAGTCATGAGATCAGCAAAGTCAGATGATGCAGGAGTCATGGCTTTGTGTCAGTTCATGATAATAATGTATGGATGATAGCTATGATTAACAAAGAAGGTGGTCTTGTTAGTTGCTGAGTGCACATAATTATTATGTTAGAATGCTGTGAGAGTAAGCTATTCTGTCCAGTCATCTTGCCTGTGATTGATGAACATTTGAAGATACTTTTTGATCTCTTGATTGACATATTCAGTTTATCCATCTGTTTGTGGATGATAGGTGGTTGATGCATTGCTTCAGATGTTAAGTAGGCAATAGAGATCATCAAGAAATTTGGACATGAATTGTAGATTCTAATCCAAGATGATGACTTGAGATATTTCATATTTTGTATAGACTTCATCATGTAAGATCTTGGCCCATCTCTTGGAAGATAACTCTATCAAACATATAATGGAAATAATCACCTTTGAGAATCAGTCAACAATGATGATAATAGCATCATAGCTATTACAGTCTGAAAGTCTAGTGATCATATCATCCAAGATATGAGTTTATAGTTTTATAGAAACTTTATTTGAGTGAAGTGGAGTAGCTTGTGCCTGTATGCTTGTCTTGGTCTGCTGATAAGTTTCACATCTCTTTATATACTTCTCGATGTCTTACTCTATTTTCAGCCACTAGTACTTCTGTGGTATCAGTTTCCTCATCTTCATGATCTCAGAGTGTCTAGCAGTAGCATAGTTATAAGACATGGTGATGAGCTCCCCTCAGAGTGCATGATCTCAGAGAATATAGATTTGATTGTCATAGTATATCAAATTCCCTGATTTAGTCATACTCTGCTTATGATTGATCAAGGGAGCAATCTGTTAATCCTATAATTTCATCCATCACATTGCACTCTTAATTTGCTCA